ATTCTTAGGGAACCGATACTATTGCCCCCACTCTTAGGGAACCGATACTATTGCCCCCACTCTTAGGGAACCGATACTATTGCCCCCACTCTTAGGTTTACAGGTTTCGCACCAAAAGACCATTCGGTTAAGCGGTGGTAGACATGGAATACCAGACAAGCCGTGGAATCATTGGGTGGACTCTGGTATGGACTCTGAGCACAAGGAAAGGGAGGCCTTTAGTGATTGGGTGGACGGGTAGGCAGAGCTCAGAGTTTCCCGTTTGAGGTCTCATTGGAACCGATGGTGGACTGGTAAGTAACTATAGGTAGGTATAGGAAAGGGAGGCCTACAGTGGACGGATGGTAGGGGTAGGACGGTGTGTGTTATCGTATTTTGTTATTTCTATATTTATATTAAAACTATTTTATATGAAATCATTTAATGGTATGTTTTCGTCAGTTTTATGATAAACTAAATATTCATTTCATATAGAAATGAGTAATTATACGGAAATGTAATCAATGTTTGTGGTAATGATAAAATAGATAAATTATAAAATGTTTATACAGTATGAAATTTCAATTTAGCATTATTTTTCTTAAATACTAAATCATTTCTCAGTGAATAATTATAACGAAGTTATCTATTACTGTATATTTGTTACAAATAGCGGTTATCATTGCTATGAATTATTGAACAATATTATAATTATTAAATATTGTATTTTACAGAATATATTAATTGTGTTAACGTTCATAATTAATGTGTATATACTTATAAATACGGCAAATAATGTCCGGTTATAATATCGACCGGTTTGTCAATTTGAGTGAAACGGAAAGGGATGAACTGACGTGTAGTCTATGTCTGGACATACTATGTTGTCCAGTGGTATCACCTTGCTGCTCTCAGATGTTCTGCGAGTGTTGTATTAATGAATGGCTACAAACCAACAATACCTGTCCATACGATAGGATAGCTCTTACTAAGAGTGGACTAACACGACCACCAAGGTACATATAAAATATATTTTCAAAATATTTCAATATCCTTGAATAATATCTGAATTAACTTTATTTATTCAGGGCACTCGTCAATATTTTACAGAATTTAAAAATCAGTTGCGATTATAAAGACAAAGGATGTCGAGAAGTAGTAAAATTGGAAAACCTGACCAGGCACACTGTCAGTTGCAAATTTAATATTAAGAAATGCTCCAAGTGTACTTGTACTGAGAAGCCTGGTCATAATTGTGTGCAAGAATTACTTGCTTTGCTTAAGGATGCAAAGTTACAAATAAGTCAACAGAATGTGGAAATTAATGAATTAAAAAAGGAATTAGATTTAACTAGGTCAAATATCTCAGGCATGTCACCAGCGAGAGCTCAAAATACTACCCAAAATTCAGAGGTAATTGAAATTAACAGGTATTTCATAAAATATTATTTTTCATGTATTGTAGGTCGATGATGCTGCAATATTTAAATCAGCTCGCACAAATATTTTGGATCATCAAATTATTGTCAATAAATGCGATGACGATATGACTGAGAATATAATGCGATTCGTTCGCCAATATATTCTTGAATACAATTCGTTTTTTGAATTCTCTAAGAGTTTGAAAAAAAAGTTGGATGATGAGTTTGGTGATAGTTGGCACGTAATCGCTGGCAAACGTTATGAATACAATTCTGTCTTTAGCTATAATAAGTATTACTTAGACGTAGTGTTCGATCGATTGAGTATTGTAATCCATGCTACACATTCGGTAAGTTTGAAACCTATACGTTATTAAATTTATAAACTTAAATTTTGTTTCTAAACATACTGTACAGGGCTATTTTGGTCAGTTTAAGCAGAGGTTTCAAAGTGGAAAAATAAGGCGTGAATTTGATATTCAAATGAACGATATGAATGAAACAATGATATCGGATGTGAAAACGATTGTATTCGATGCCATTGATAAAAGTAATGATTTTGTCGAGATGGCAAATAATATTTATGGTAAAATGATAAGCAAATACCCTACTTATACGTGGCAAATATTTACTAAAGATTTTTATGGAAACCACTCCATTGTCAAAGAAAGTGGGACACGCATAAATTTTAAAATAGGAAATGTTAACTTTCTTATATTTGGAACTAAAAAATAAGATAATTAGTAGTAATTACTAATTACTAAACTTTAATAGTAATTATCACTCGTATCAAGACTTACAGTACACAATCCAGTGCAGTACAATCCATAAAATCAAAGAATATATTTATATTTTAATTTATGAAACTACAATTTGACAACAAAATCCTTACATAATATTTCAATATCTACCGTAATGTTTACAGTACAACAAAACTGTATTTCATTTAATGTAATTGTAGTTACACATCAATTTGTATATTAATTGATTGAAAGTAAATACTTTTTTAAAGCATTCTTTCATTTTATTTTAGAATTCAAATTGAATTTTATTTGATTTCCTAATAAATGTTTTGTAAGCTTCAAACTTGTATTCAAATTGTATTCACTACTGTATCGTACAGTTAAGCATCAAATCTTGTAAATTCTAAACCATTTCACAGAATATTGCTTATCCATCGCTATCCATGGGCTGAAAATTTTAATTTATAAGACACACGAAGTATGATAAGAATACGATATTTATATTAATATATAATTACAAATCTACTATTCATTCATATGTAGTCCAATTAACGGTCAGTTTAAAAAAGGTTTCAAAGTGCAAAAATCAGTCGTGAATTTGAGAGTATAGACACGTTATGAATGAAACAATGCTATCGGATGTGAAAATGATTGTATTTGATGCCATTGACAAATGCGATAATTTTACAAAATTGACAGCAACTATCTGTATGGCAATACAAATAAAGCATGCTACTTATAATTGGAAAGTATCCACAGTCGACCTGCACGGCAACTATTATATTAATACAGAAACATACTTGTCATTTAAAATGGGAAATTTACATATTCTTATATTTGCTACTAATTTAGATAATTAGACATTGTCCTAATGGTTAACATAACTCGTTCCCAAACTTAACAATAAAATTATTTAAGTATTACCAAAAATTGTTTTAATCATTAATATAAAAATTATAAATACAGTAAATAAATTTAAAACAAATTTATTAAACAAATACAGTTAACTACAATCATAACAATTTTATTGTATACATATAGCAATCAATTTATCATTTTATAACCCTATGATCATTAAAACTTAACTATGCCTGGTATATATTTATCAATGAGTGACTGATAATAAGGTATCAAGGTCTTAATATCAGGCAATTCTGGGCTCTTGGAGTAGAGATCAAATTTATTGAACTCTCGAATCCAGTCCAACATTTTGAGGTCCTTATGAGAGCACAGGTGGTAATAGTCCCCTCCCTTATGCCACGGATAAAACGAGTGGAAACGGATCATATAGAGGGCCTCCTCTGGAAGGGTACAAGTCTTGTGATTCTTGAGCACCCGATACATGTACTCGTCGTGACCCCAACTCATGAGCACCTGATCTAAGCCACAATTCTTGGCATACATTCCGTATTTAGTATTATATTTGGGATTCTTTGCGTCGGGATTCTCGTCAAACAACTCCTTATAGACATTACTGTCTCCGTAGGCACACCCGACGGGAAAGGTGTCGCCCACCACTGCCCACTGGGGTTCACCATAAATGGCCATAACTTTTCCCAAGTCGTGGATCAGACCCGTCAAGTGAAACCAATCCAAATCCGGGTGCGCTTTGCGTATGTCTTCCGCCGTCTGAAATGCGTGCACCAAATTGGGTAGACTTATATCCGGATCACTTTCGTCCACAAAGTTGTTCAGCTTATCCAAGGCCTCCATGATTGGCAACTCTATTGTATTGAATTGAGTCCAATGAGACATCCGGTCCCTCACGAAGTCGACCGACTGTTTGCTATGCATTTGCCGATAGGTTTCGTAAATCATTTTCTGCATCTCGTCGTCCTTTTCAGACAAATATCATTAGTTAGACATTAGATACCAGTCTTTACAGACACACCACAGACCTGATTGTTATTATAAATCCGGTATTCCTCGACATCTTTGTAGTCGGGCCTATAGTTCTGCGACGGATCTATTAGGAGTATGGGCTCACCAACACTAACAGCCATTCCCTTTCAATTAGTATTACTGTAATAATTCCTCAAGAATTTGGAAATTTTTGTCTCATTTTTAAATGTTTTGGTTTTTATACAATTGAGAGATGAAGAGGTGTTGCCATTCATTATCGCTATTATCTTATGTCAAACTAATCAATAGATTGTCAGTTTATTTCATCTGTTTTATGAGATTTTTATTTAATAGTCAAATGACTTGTTTCGCACTTTTTAAAGGTTTTTGTTTGTGGATAAAATTTTGGGAAATAAATAAAACTCTTGATTTTATGAGATATTATCTGAAAATGTGATTTATATGTCAAGAATTCCCTAAGACGTGACAAATTCAAGACATATTTTTATAATTTTAAAAGTAATATCAAATTAAATGTCAAATTTGTAGTTCACTTATAGATTGCGAAAGTGTGTCAATCAATAACTTATTTAGTTTTTAGTCAGAAAATAGTTTATTAAATACTTTTAATTGTTTTCTATAAACATTTATAATAAAATATTAAAAGTTTACTTTTACTGTAATGTTTATACAGTTAATCAGAATATTTGTAATATTTATATATTGTTTGCTTTTTAAAGCATAACATTACTTTAAATAAGTTATTAACAATACAGTAGTAGTATTACAATTAATAGAAATATAAACTTATAAATCTTGTTTCAAACAATTCAATAATATTTAATTTCCATACATAACTTAGACAGTGATTGAAAATTAAACCACATATTCAATATTTGAATATGCAAATATTTATGACAACATCTATATTACACATTCATTTATTAAATAATGTAATATTTAAAGTTTATTTAAATATTAATTATGAAAGTATTGCAAGTTTTTGAAACAGAATATTCGGGTCATTCTGATTGGAGTCTGGTTTGTCTTCTTGTATATCATTTAATCGATTAAATCATTTATTAAATAAAAATAAAATGACAACAAATTGATAAACACTTATCAATTGATATAAGATTAGTCACCCAATGAATACTTTATAAAATTGCTCATATAGTAATAATTTGACTTCATTCAAACAAATATTGATAACAAATTACAAATTTAATTGTTCAGACTTTTGTCTGGAAATTAATCAAATATTTTACAATTTTATTTAAATGTCTGGGTCACACCAAATGAATTAATAAATTGCAATATAAAACTATTTGTAAATGCATGAATATTCTGTAATTGCCAAATCCTAATCATAATTAGCTAATACCTAAATGCACAGCTATACCACAATCAATCAAATTCAAAATCTTTACATATTATTAGGTTTTATAAACTTATATTTGACTCAATTTTTCAATACTTCTGATCAAAAGTTTTGTCAAGAGTTAGAGTCTAATCGTTAGACTATTTTGAAACACTCAGGCATTTAGGCATTTATTGCATTCAGTCGCAGAACTTTCTGTGCATTACAAGTATTTGATCCAATATGCCATCAAATACTTGTAGAGATTATCTCAATATTTCAAACTTAATCCATGGATTAGATTAGATTTTGATCTCAGCTTTGAGTCAATCGTTAGACTGTTTTGAAACACTCAGGCATTCAGTCATTCATTGCATTCACAGTCAGTGTTGTGTTCATTGAAAGACATTAAAAGACATTTCAAACGCATTGACCACACATTCAAAGACCATTACCACCGAAGACCAAGTCATCCAATCAAACAAATTGATCACTAAATGGGACGACAACGCAAAGACAGTGGCGGTCATGAGAAGTCCCTCCAGAAGTGGAAGGGCTATCCGGATGAGGAGAACACATGGGAGCCGCAGGAGAACCTGAACTGCGATGACCTGATCCACACATTCGAGGAGAAGCGCCGCAAAGACAGGGCGGGCGGTGCTGGAGGTGCGGGCACTTCCACTCCGGAGCCGACCGCCAGTTGCCGTCGCAGGACGGCCTCCAAGGATGAGACGCCGGTTGTGGCGGACAAGCGGTCGCGTCGCGCGACTCCCGGACGGCCCGCGAAGGATAAGTCACTCGAAGAGGACTTCGACGACGCCATGAAGAAGCCGAGGGGAGGCTTCGAGAGGGGTCTCCGTCCCGATCGCATACTCGGCGCCACCGACGCCTCCGGAGAACTCATGTTTCTCATGAAATGGTTGGACTCGGATGAGGCGGATCTCGTGCCCGCGAAGATGGCTAATGACAAGTGCCCGCAGGTATGACACCAATCCATGCATTTGTTGCCATTTTGATGACATCACTGTTTAATTGGTAATGTCTTTGTGTGTCTACGTCTGTGTCCCCACAGATCGTCATCAAGTTCTATGAGGACCGCCTCACATGGCCCTCAAACGCCGAAGGGCTGAACGCCAAAGAATCTCATTTGGAACCAATGAATGACGAAGAATCGAAACCCGATATAATATTTGAGAATCAGATTCAACTGGATTTCTATTCACAAGAAACGCAACAAAACTTCGAGTTTGAGGAACCGATAAAGACATCGAAAAGCATTGTTTCGATGGCAGATATTGAGTCCAATGACTCCAATCCTCATCACTTCGATGATTTAATGTCTTAAGAATCTGTACCACAAGTGTCACAATTTGGCACTCAAGAGGTTCCGCAAGATTTGATTGAATTCTCGTTTTGATCTCTCTATTCATTTTAAAAATATGATTTAATTAAAACTCAAAAAAAATAGTATTTTTAATTGATTATGAAATTAACAAAATTTAATATATTTTAATTGTTTGTATAGAAATTCTAAAATGTAAATATTCTTTGCTATGTTTAACTGTAAACCCAATTATGAGCTGAATTTTTGATCATTAAATTTTATCATATTTTAAATACTTGTTCACATTTTTACTCATTTATTTCCATAAGTACTCATAAAACATAAACCAATGCACAGAATATTCTGTAAACACTATTAATGTTACAATGAATACATGGATTCAAATAAAGCGCTCTTTAGTTGCCATTCATTGACCAAAACATTGAAAACTCTTTCATTTGTTTTGTATATATTTTGAACTAAAATGCGATTAAAAGTCAATTAAAACTGCATTCAAATGACAATCAATTAAATCTCATTCATCTGTCAATGAATCGTCAGTTTTGCCGCAAAAGTAAACCAAACATTCATTTCATTACTATTT